TTTTTCTTATTTTTTTTTTTTTTCTCAAACTAAAACCAATCTTTTAAAATAAATTTTTTTTTTGCTTAATTTTTTTTTTTTTTTCCCAATTTTTTTTTTTTTTTTTTGCGCAATTTTTTTTTTTTTTTTTTTTGGCGCAATTTTTTTTTTTTTTTGCAAAATAATTTTTTTTTGCTACTATACAATGTTTTTTTTTTAAACATAAAACTTTCTTATATATTTTATAACACTGTTTGCTGGGACTTGATTTTTTGCATATTGTATCAGTATGTAAATATTTTAGTATATTTGGTTTTGTTGTTGAAAAAACTAATTTTACTAACTTTCTTTTTTAAAATACATTGAGATTAGCGAGAAGAAAAAAAGAATAAAAAAAAACGAAAATTTTTTTTTTACTTTTCGGTTGTTATGTCTGTCGCTCCTCCGAGTATTACGTTTTCTACTTCTCTAGGAATCACGTCTGCTATTTCTTCAGGTGTCATGTCAACTGCTCTTCCAGACACCACGTCCACTACCTCACTAGATGTTATATCTGTTGCCTCTATGAATATCAGGCCTGTATCCTTAGCCTCTGTGGACACTTCTCCTTTAGTTGTTACAACTTTAAATCTCTCACCTGATGAAAAACGAAGTTTACTTTATAATTTAAAGGGTCTATTGGAAATTCCAATGGATGATTTTGATGATAATTGGTGGCCATTGGTTTCTAATATTTGGACGAAATGGGATTCATATAAGCATGCGGATGGTGATATTCGGAAGGTTTTTGCCTGCCATTTTATGAAACACCGGGAATCAAGTACTCGAAAAAAAGAGAATATTCTAAATGAAAAACATCGAATAACAAAAACAAGGCCTTCTGATCTGTGCCATGCAAAGGTTAAAGTTTCTTGGTTAATCACTTCAAAAGTGGTCAGAGTAGAATGATATAAAGGCTCTCCCAATCACACTCATCCCTTGGAAGAAAATGATAGGATAAAGCGGTCAAAGGTCATCAGAACTTTAGTTGAAAATGAGGCAATAAAAAATTATTCACCTCAAGCAATCACGGCTGCTGTCAAAGAATATGCAGCGACTAAGTTAGGTCTTGGTGCAAGTGTTCGTGAACTAAATCGTAAAGAAGTAACAAACATTAAGTATAAGGTTCGCGGGCCTATGGAGGCTCACCTTATTGGAAGTTCAGATCTGAAATCAGATATTTCAGAAGCTATAACTTATTTAAAAAACCAGGGGTATCTTGTAGAAAATTATCGTGTACCTAGCAGTCTACTAAAGGTATTGTGTTCGCGCATCCGGAGCAACTTAAGAAACTTGAATGTCATAGCTGGTTAACGCTAATAGATTCAACGCACAAAACCAACCGATATGACTGGCGTCTGTTTACTCTTTATATCTGTGATACTTTTGGATGTTGGAATGTGGGTGCTCACTTTTTTGTAAGTAGTGAGAATAGAAACACAATTGTAAAGGCATTGTTAATTATTCGTAATAAGTATTGTCACTGATCCCCTCGTTATATGCTTTTAGACCAAAGTAACATTGAGGCTAAGAGTATTAGGCAAGCTTTTCCTAGTGTAATAGCTGGCGAGCAAGAGTGCGAAATAATCCTTTGTGTTGTCCATATTATGAGAACTTGGATGCAAAAAATCTATGAAAAAAAGACCCGAGATATTATGATTGCGGCAATGCACAAAAGAACAAAAATTGGCTGTGAAAGCCTTGTTCAGGATGCTATTAACTCCTGCCTGATTTCTACTATACAAAACTATATTAAAAGGTACTATGCAAAAAATACACACCAATGGGGGATGTGGGCTCGCCAGCACTCTCCTCTGCTTTTGCAGGTTACATCAACAAACCTGTTGGAATCTTTTCATAGTGAATTGAAGAGAATAACTTCGTCATCATATGGTTTAATTAGTGAACAAGTTTTTTTTTTGTTTTACTTGTCTGTTCTTATTCAAGGACGATGATTTTCTGTACAGATCTTTGAATTAGATTGTAGATGAATTTCTATAAAAAATAGAGTTAATTTTAAATAAAAAAATTTTTTAAAAAAGAATTTTTTTTTGAGAAAAATTTTTTATTAGAAAAAATTTTTTTCAACGAAGATAATTTGGGAGGGAGGGAGGGGTTTTTTTAAAAAAAATTTCAACGAAGATAATTTGGAAAGGAGGGAGAGAGGGTTTTTTTAAAAAAAAAATTTTTTTTAAAAACGATACAGGTGAATTTTTTCTTAAATTTCTTGCAGTAAATCATCGTCTTTGTATCTACCTTTTTATTATTTTGTTCATTTTTTTTTAATACACTTCTCATTCGCTTATTTATTTTTATTTAAAGGTGCCGTGCATAGCATTGTTAATATTAATTGTAAAAAGAGGTCCGAATCTGAAAGTGCCGCCTTTAACTATCATATTAATAAAGTGTCTGCTTATAGTGTTGAAGACGATATTCTTAAGGAAATTCACAAGTTCCCCCTTCCATTCCAACATCTACTTATTAAAGAGGCCTGTGCTGTAATAAATAGGCTTAAAAAAGGAAAAGGTGTGCTGGGTTTGACCTCTCTTGATTGTCACTGCTTGTTTCGCAATCGATATTTGTTGCCATGTAAGCATATTTTTTATGAACACATGTATAGTAATAACTTGTTGACTACTGATATATGGAAAAAATTTCAAGAAACATTTGAAGAAAGTGAGTTTGAGGTATATGTAAGTCAGGAATCATTTGTGGAATATGTACAGAGTGAACAACAAAAAAGTGCTGAAAATCGAAGAATTGCAGTGGTTGAATTAACTGAAAGAGTACGTGATAGGTACTGGTGTGTTGAAGAAACGGGTAATGTTGAAAGGGTAGAATCTTATATTTCTATGTTAGAAACTTCCTTAAATCCAATTATCTTACAATTTAATTAAAAATGTAATGATTATATGTTTGATATTAATAAAGTTCACATAAATATTAAGGGCTTTCTTGAATTTTAATTTTTTGTTTGGAACTTATTATTATTATTTTATTACAATGATCCGTTAAAATCTTATTTTATTTTTATTTATTTCATTATTTCATTATTATTATTATTATTATTATTATTATTATTATTATTATTATTATTATTATTTTATTACGATGATCCGTTAAAATCTTATTTTATTTTTACTGTATTTATTTCATTATTTCATTATTTTTAATTAACATTTTTATTTATTTATTTATTTTCTATCACGATCGGGATCTTTTTACTGGAAAATTCGAAGGTAGGTGTTCTATTTATTATTTTTATTTACTGTTGCTCTTTTCAGTTACATATGAACTCTCTGTTTGATTAGAAGGTTTGTTGGTGCATGCCAAATTTTGATGGTATGCAATTGGCATGCTATTAATTCATGTAGTAATTTAATGGCACGCCAGTGGCATACCACTAAAATACTGCTTGCACCAACTCTACTTCTCAGTATTATACTTTTCATTGGTTTCATTTTATTCAGTTAATATCTTTTATTTAGGCTTATTCGTGTGATTTTGGTCAATAAGTATAAGATCTTTATTAAATAGTATGTTTAAATTTACTATTCAAGTTAACGTTAACATTTTATCATCATATTCATTTAGGTCAGCGTATTTAAAACTGCTACTCAGGTTCATAACATTTACTATCAAACATTACCTCTTATTTAGTTTTATCTGTGTAATTACAGTTTAATAATACTTTACCACCACGTTCATTTAGTTTTATTCATGTATGAATATAAAATCTTTTATCATTGGTGTATTTAAAGTTGATGAGCTCATTTGATCATCCAAATTATTTTTTACTAATTAAAAATTGGGCTCCAATCTATTAATTAGGTGCTTGAGAGCACCCTAATTTATTTGTGTTAATTTTGTTGGTAAGTATAGAAACCTTTATTGATCAATGTATTTAATTTTGCTATTCGAATTCACAGAATTTACTATTATAAATTCTTCTCACTAAAGATCTTTTATATTTAATTTTGTATTCTATTCTTAGAGTTTACTATTACAAATCTCTCTCATTTGATTTCATTTGTATAATTTCATTCCAACATTTTTATCATAACGCTCATTTGTTTTGTTTTGTTCACGTTAATTTACTATTCAAAATTAATGAAGCTCTTAATAAGACCCAGTGCTGTTGCAATCCTAAACGATAGTTGGTGAGTATGAAAGTTTTTTATTTATCAGCATATTTAATTTTGTTACTTAAAGTTCGTATAATTTACAATCTCACAATATCTCTCATTTAGGTTCATCTGCATTATTTTATACTAACATTTTTACCATCACACTAATCGCATTAATTTACCACTTGACGCTGCATACAATTCTCAAGTATAGTGCGAATCATCTAAAAACATCCAAAATCGTATTTCTTCAGTGAATCTTTGAAGGCAAATTACTATTTGACTTGTTGATTTCTTGAAACTTATATCTCAAATTACTGAAATAACGCAGATTTGATGCGAATAGATAATTTGCATATTAGAGAGTATTAAGTTTTTTTTATTAATCTATGTATTTATTTTTGCTACTCGAAGCTCACAAAATTTACTATCATACAATATCTCTTATTTAGTTTGTGTAGTGTCATTTTTTAATATATATTTTTTTAATGTGACCTAATTATCTTTAGCTTTCATGCGAACGAATTAAGTTTTACTATCGTTATATATTTTGGTTTTTTGTTCTTTTTTTCTTTTTATTCGTTAATATAGTTGGTGGGTATATGTAGAAATTTATGTATAGTATTTTAATAATTTTAATATCAGATATATTCGAGTTTAATAGTATTTATTTTTTACATAATGTTTTCTTTTTAATAAATAAATAAATAAATAAATAATTGTTATGTTTTTTAATATATTTTTTTTAATGCGACCAGATTAACTTTAACTTTCATGCGATCGAATTAATTTTTTACTATCGCTATATATTTTATATTAGCGGCTGTTATACATACCACTCCCTTCCACTGTAAATTTTTTTTCAAACTATGAGCGAAGATATCTCGACAACCTCTAGGTCAAATCTGATAATCTTTTTTTATTTGAATTCTATGAATTTGTAGAATTCAAAAAAAAAAAAGTTATTGAATTTGGTTTGTGGTTGTCGAGATATCTTCAAAAAAAAAACTCATTATGTCTATCAAAATAGAAGCTGTGCCAAAATTTTTGAGCGAAGATATCTCGATACCGATCAGATTAAATTCAATAAACTTTTTTTTATTTGAATTTTAGGAAACTGTAGAATTCAAAGAAAAAAAGTTCATTGGATTTGGCTTTAGTGGTTGTCGAGATATCTTCAAAAGATTCAAAATGTCTATCAAAATAGAAGCTGCTTCAAAATTTTTCTCAAACTTTGAGCAAAGATATCTCGACAACCACCAGGTTAAATTTAATGAACGTTTTTTAATTTGAATTTTAGGGATCTGTAGAATTCAAAGAAAAAAAGTTTATCAAATTTAACCTAGTAGTTGTCGAGATATCTTCGCTCAAAGTTTATATTTATTTTATTTTTTTATTTCTTTTTATTTATTTTCTGGCCAATCATAATTGTTATTTGTCAACCAATCTGATTGGTGTCACGTGAATTTGCCCCTGCTTTAGATGACCCCCAAATTTGTAAAATTCAAACCTTGTGTTGACCTACATTAAAAACCCAGATTGGGCTGATTTTAATTAAACACAACTTTAAAAGATTACAAATCAAATTAATACAACTTCCTAAATTAGCTACATTTAAAAATTCTATTTATAAATTAATTAAACACAATCTATTTTTGGCTAAACACAAATCACAACTATATTACGTCACACCTGTGATATACCTTCAATTATCACATCACACCTGTGATAAAATAATATTTATCACACCCCTTAGCTATCACCCAGTGACATATTTTATCTGTTACACCCCCTTATTCATCATATCCAATACTTTCTATACCTCTCATTCAATTATCTAACTTTTGTCTTTCTATTTGTCACACCCCCAAATTATCTATCCTTTACCTAAGTTACAATATTCCTTAACAATGCCTACTTTAACAAGTGAAATGCCAGATACCTTTAACTTGGACTACTTCTATAGGAAGTACCCTGATAGCTTTTAGTAGCTTTCTATGAAGAGGATCTGAAAAATATCTCTTCAATTCCTCCTAAAAGCAAACCGATCGTTTGTCTTATTAAAACCCTTTGAAGCAATACAAAAATTACTCACATCGTACCTGCTCCCAAAACTTCTGCAATTGTCCACTACCTCTGTGGCCTCTACCATACTAACTTCACCTCTGCAACTAACAAAGAATATATTATTTCTCTCTCTAGTTTCACAACTTACGCAGCAAACGCAAATAACAAAAAAACTAAAGTTCTCTTACAAAACCTTGCTGAAAGTTCTGAAAATATCCTGCTATCCCCAACACCAAACCTTTGCCAATATACTTGTTCAAAATGCTGGCTTGTTATCAAATACAAACTTACCAACAATATCTATAAACTAAATAATAATACTACCTTCCATGAAAATAAAGCATACCACTATGCCTGTCTCCCAAAAAACAATACTAACAACCTTTCTTCTTCTACTAACTTCAGTTCTACTACATCTGTTACTCATGACTTTCTCTCTACTAGAAAAGACTTAACCACTACTTTTCAAAAACAACAACAACTTCAAAACCTATCTACTCCTTCTTCAACTCTTCTCACACCACCAGACAACAATAAAACATCTCTACCTACTACAACTATCAGCACCAAGGAAATATTGCCAAAAATAGAAATTGACCTTACTACTCCAACTCAAACTAATCTAATTCAAAATCTAACACCAAATACGAATCTTACAGACCAAACTCTACAAACAACCCTAAACAACAACATGGAAATTGATATACCAAAAACACCAAATCTCAAAGGAAAAAATACTCTTATCAAACCAAGCCAACTTACTAAAAATAATAATAATTCTTATTCTAAAGCTTTGGCTAAAGACTTATCACAATCTCAAACTACCTCTACCAAACCAAACAAACCTAAAGCAAACCCTGTATTCGACTAGCTTGCAAACTTTCTGATTACAAAAGAAATGAAACCTAATACCAAACTTTAAACTAAACTATCCTTCAAATTGTTTAGCTTTCTTAAAGATAACCTTTCAAACTTCACCTCTAGAACATCATTTAAATATTTTATTCGTACAATAGCATGCCAAAGATCTGAATTTCTAACAAATTTAATCTACTAAGCAAACCCAGATATAAACCCTGATGCAACAATCCACTTCGACCTCCTTGAATCTACTCTAAAAGATCTCTTGGTCAAATTTACAACTATACTATTCACTAAAATGAATTATGAAGAGATCTTTGCATCTTCTATCACAATTCTACTACACAAAATAGAAAATCACCTCCAAATATGTTTGAATATAGCACAACTACACTGTTATTTAACAAATAACTTCCAATCAATCAACTATACAAAATTCAATGAAGATTTTAAACTCAGATCTAAAAGGTTCAAAATTAATTCTACAATTGAACATACTGACTAAGAACAAGAATACTTCACTATCTCTTCAGATTTAAGATTTAACATCAAACAACTCTTCAATATTCCTAAAACTCTTTTTCTTGACAAATTTAATATCTTATCTCTAAAAAACTCATTTGACAACCTTAGTAGCTAGTTTGAAGAGGTCTTTCTAGCTTACTCTCGCCAATTCAGTACACCTATCGATAAGCAAAAAACTCTTACATATCTAAAACACTAAATCCGTCAACACTTCATTCTTTACTTAACCAAACTTCTTCCAAAAAAATATGAAATAAAAAAGCCTAATTTATTAAAAGTTTGAGTAGGAATTTTGGTTTTAAAGGTTGCTTTATGTT